TTGTAAACAAACTGGTCTCGAAACATTCCTTGGGTCATGATACCTCAGATACCAATTTTACCATAGTCGGCAGAACTTTCTGTCCACCATTTTCATTTATGTTGAAAACATATTTTTTCTAACTTCTCCTAGACCGTTGGTCTGATTTTCACCAAATTTGACTCAAATCATCTTCAGACCATGCTTGCAAAAAGTTATGGATTTCGCGTCGATAGACAAAACCGTTTTTGTATAGCGCCGCTACAAATTTGAGGTATGATGCCAAAATTACTCTGAGGCTGTATCTCTGCAAAGCTTTGGCATATTGACACCAAACTTTGTGTGTGCCATTGTCACCTCACACAGAACACACCACATATATTTGATAACAGCGCCACCTATTGGTCAGAAGTGATAAACCAATCAATCATATTACTAGTGTTTGTATTTATGATTTTTCTGCCATTTTGACTAAAATAATCTTTAAATGGTTTTAATTACTCATTGCTGCAGTTGGTCTGATGCTTGCTTCTGTAGTGCTTGGCCCCGTAATTGCTGCTTGTAGTTATTTTTTTTCCTTTTTTTTTTTTCTCAGGCACTAGTCAATTTTGAGGTTTGGTCTATTTTGCTTCCATAACATGTCTTCTTTCAGATTAGTGGTAGCACTAGTCAGTAGCACTTAGACCAAATTTTACCATTTTGTTCATAACTATATTCTGAAGGTTTATTACAGAGGGGTTTGTTACTATATCATTTGACTGATATATATTTAACATTTTATTCCCTTTTTTATGGCTGTTGTATTTTCTGATTTATGTAGTGATAAAAAAATCCCATCTGTAAAAACCTTTAACTCTAATATATACAAAAAAAAAAAAAAAGAACAAAGGAATAAGAAACAATTTTGAACCTGGCTTTATTTAATGTTCAGATTTCTTTTCTGATAATGTATGCAAATTATCGTATTCAGTAATGAACCATGAAAATGTACCATCATTTTTCATTGAAATATATATAAATATGAATACATTCATTATACCTACCTAGTGTATTAACTAATGTTAACAGATACCACTTTAAATTTCAAAATGTATTGGTAAATGTTGGAACTAACCTTCTTTGCTGCTCTAGCAACAGACACAACCTTGAAAAACTGGGTATGTATTTTTGCAGATAACTGATTGTTCCAGCAATTAAAAAACTTAAAAACATGTGCAAATATGACTAAACAGTGTGCAAACTTGACGCAGTTATGGCCAGACAACTGTACGAAGCATGTTTCTTGCACAGTGTGTATTTTTATGTTTATTACAGTACTATGTCCTGCCCCATAGACTTACATAAAAAAAAAAAAAAAGAACAAAGGAATAAGAAACAATTTTGAACCTGGCTTTATTTAATGTTCAGATTTCTTTTCTGATAATGTATGCAAATTATCGTATTCAGTAATGAATGAACCATGAAAACCATCATTTTTCATTGAAATATATATAAATATGAATACATTCATTATACCTACCTAGTGTATTAACTAATGTTAACAGATACCACTTTAAATTTCAAAATGTATTGGTAAATGTTGGAATTAACCTTCTTTGCTGCTCTAGCAACAGACACAACCTTGAAAAACTGGGTATGTATTTTTGCAGATAACTGATTGTTCCAGCAATTTAAAAAATTAAAAACATGTGCAAATATGACTAAACAGTGTGCAAACTTGACGCAGTTATGGCCAGACAACTGTACGAAGCATGTTTCTTGCACAGTGTGTATTTTTATGTTTATTACAGTACTATGTCCTGCCCCATAGACTTACATTGTGCATTTCTGTAATGATTGCTGCCGATTGATTGAACATGATAGATGTTTTATGAATTGGGGTAATAGGGTGATGAGGGACTGACCTGTGACCTGAGCCACCACGGCCTGTGAGATGCGTCTGTTGCCCAGAAAGGCTTTGATTTCCTCCTTCACCAGGGTGCCGTCTCGCCTGCACACATCACAGGACGCAAACATGACAGCTGCAATTCAACACCACAACATGACGTCTGTGAAGATTCAGTTATCAAACTCATCGCAGAAAGTCTCAGAGCAAAATGACCCTGCTTACAACCGGTATACCCAACCACACACCACCAACGCTAAATTCAGGACAGGTTTAGAGAGTTTAATTTTTAGAGTTTTTTAGAGTTTGAATCGGCTTTTACCTTTGACCCACAACAGTGAGATTTTTTTTTTATATTTTGATTTTTTTTGTTTGTTTGTTTTTTCTGTTTTCAAAAAAAAAAAAAAAAGTCTATAGTTTTTATAAATTTTTATTTAAGTGTTAGTCATTTTATTACATCCAATTAAATTGCAGGAAAATTAGAAATGTTTCTTTGGCTTACATATTACATAATTAGCTTACATAAAATAAGTTTGCATCTTTTTTTTCATCATCTCAGGGCTCCAGACTTCTAAACTAAAATGGTTGCACATGTATGTAAAAATAAATAAATGAATAAATAAAACAATATTAAAAATTATTATTAAAATTGCAATTTATAAAAATAATAAATGTATGTAATATTACTTACAATCTAACTGCCTTTTAAAATATTGGTCAACCACTAGTAAAAAAAAAAACATAAAAAATAAAGTGCAGTACATACTGTATACTCCCTATTATTAAAAAAGGAACTACAACAGTATGCAACAAATATTTTGAATGTTAATATACAACATTGTTGGCACATTATTTCAAAATGTTGCATGACTGAGTGATTGATTGAGTGCAATAAATCATATCAACTTTGTTTTTTAATAATTTTGTTGTGTTTTTGTCATTTTTATTAGGCTAGTTCTTGTGTTTTTGTCTAAACCGTTTTTATTAATTTTTATTTCAGTTTTAGTATTTGTTATTTTAATAAATCAAGTTACACTAAATAAAAATGAGAATGGTGCTAGCTGAAAATTTTATATTTTATTATTTTTCATTTCAGTTTACATTTCTACTATTTCAAGTAATGAACATTTTCTAATAGTTAGTATTTTTAGCTGTAGTTAACTATAATAACCCTGACTGACTGACCTCATGAGCTCCTCCACCTTGTCGTCTATATCCAGGTCCTCCTCTGACCCCTCCAGCCCATACGATCTCACGGCCGCCGCACTGTTCACCGGGTAACGGTTTGGCGACAGCTTCCCATTGGGCGTCGCCGCCAAAGCGTCCCGCCCATTCTGCGCCATGGCAACCAGAGAGACCGGCGAGGGTAAGACGGCGGGTGGAGACGTGGCGTAACTGTTGCTGGGCGACGGCGATAAATTACCGTGGAACTGCGTTTGCGTTGCTGTGGAGGTGGTGGAGGAGGTCGCCATGGTGGCGTTGCTAGTGTTATTTGAGGTGGGTGTAGTGCTGGAGGTGGTGCTGTTGGTGGCGTTGGAGTCCGACGGGCCGCGCCGGCTGAACTTGTCCCCGTGCTCACGGTCGAGTCGCTCCAGGGTGTCCAGTGCGTGCACGATCTCGGGTTTGGTCATACCTGTATGCCGCAGTCTCTGCAGCAGGTCGATCTGTTCGATGGTGAAGCGTGGCTCATCTGTGTAGTGAGACATTCTGATGGGACACAGAAGAAAACGTTATGGAACATCAATCACATGTGCATCAATGGCTGCTGTGAGAAGAAACAAACAGATGCTACATTGAGAACAGACAGTTTGCATACTGACAACAACTAAGCATTCTGGTTCATTCATCTCAGGGCTCCACAATGCTACTAAAATGGTCACAAACTAGTAAAACAAATATAAAGATGCTGCACAGTACTGTGTACAGTCCCTACTATTTAAAAAAGGAAGTATAACAACAGTATGCAACAATAAATATTTCAGTTGTTCTTCAACATTTCAACTCAGGTTTATACTTGATATATTAAAGTGTGTGTGTGTGTGTGTGTGTGTATATATATATATATATATATATGGATGATGTTGCTTCTAGTTCATAAAATAAAACAAAATATAAAAAGTTAATAAAATAAAAATGTTGTTGTATAAGATTTGCAACTTTATTATAATATTATAAAATATATATGTAATAAAGATTTTAAATATAAGTGTCATTAAAAAGAACACACAATATTGACCAACCAACCACTAGTAAAACAAAAACCTAAGAATTCCCCACAAACAGTGAGTAAAAATGTTAAAAATAATGGGTGTTTTTGCTTTTGATTCATTCATCTCAGGGCTTGCTGTTATTATTATATACAATTTGCAACTTTATAAGCATATTTAAATAAAACAAAATATAAAAAGTTAATAAAATAAAAATGTTGTTGTATAAGATTTGCAACTTTATTATAATATTATAAAATATATATGTAATAAAGATTTTAAATATAAGTGTCATTAAAAAGAACACACAATATTGACCAACCAACCACTAGTAAAACAAAAACCTAAGAATTCCCCACAAACTGTGAGTAAAAATGTTAAAAATAATGGGTGTTTTTGCTTTTGATTCATTCATCTCAGGGCTTGCTGTTATTATTATATACAATTTGCAACTTTATAAGCATATTTTGTATAAATATTCTTTAACATCTAATTGCCATGATTGAGGAGTCATTATTCAATAAAATCTTAAGAGTTTAAGTCAGTGCACTGCAATTCAGCACATTTGCACAATGCAACAACAAACACTTAAATTACTTTTGAGACTGGTACTCTTTAATAAATCACTGACGCTCCTTAATAAAAGACTGGTTGTCTTTAAAAAAAAAACTGATTCACAAATGATTCTCAAATGCATTAGTTAATGTTTATATGGTTTGAATCAATTCAATGACTTGCTTACTGAACTGTTCAGAGCTTATACTAAGTTAACAGCTTAGTTTAATAGTCATTTGTTTTTAGTCTGGAACTGTGTCACATTGTCAACAGAATGTCCAGTGCGTTGCATTGTGGGACACAGGTTGTACATTTACTTACTGTGCACAGCTTATAAGAATAGTAGGAAGGAACAAACCCGGAATTAACTCAAACATGTCAAGACTTAGATCCTACGACAAACGAAGGAATTATCATAATTTCAAGTGCTCCGCCATCTCATGGCAGCCGAGTTATGATGATAAAAGCAGGATTCATCTGACCTACTTAAAATTCTGTTTATCCAAGACGGCTTTCATCAACAAGCACGAGCAATTACTGTCGCTGTTGTCAAGGAAACCATACCACCCAATGATGGATGGAGTTTATGTAACTCCAGATTAAAGCGCAGAATGCAAATACGGAGCATGCTTTGTTTAACCTTCTAATCTAGAGCACATGGTTTTATATTAAGCTAATGGTTACGCATAGTCATACTAATACCAGGTAGTAATAGATGACTAGCCAACCAGGTTACATTTTAACCATGTTCTTCTCACTTGAACTGCATGTAAAACAGCTATTTTGAGCAATAATAACAGCGATGCTTGACTATTAATAATCTTTATTTTAGCTTTGTTACAGCAAAAATGAATGGGAAAGACTGGCAACACAGCGGCCTTGTGGCAACAACTCTTCTAACTTAACCATCCCAGTATCACAGCTTATTTGCTGTGAAATTCCTCACTGGTTTGGGGTTTTCCATTATACCAGACCTATTATATTTACACAAGTTAACCGTTAACCTTACACCGCTGGAGCCAAAGCACTCGCCGCTAAAAAAAGGGCTCAGCGAGCTCTTGTACAGCATAATTGCTTCCACTTAGATCTCAGATGATCCTTATAAAAGTCTGTGATAGGAACATGGCAGCCGCTGTGGGTTTCTAAAAATATATCACCGCGAGGCTTTTGACTGAGGCAGAAATTGTGTGTGCGATGAAAGATACAAAACGCTGTCGCTGTCTTTTGTCATGCATGCGATCCTCCTCTGACATCTCTTAACATGCACAGAGGGTCTCACCCATAAGCCCTGCTGCATTAGTGATCATGTGGCATTAAATACTGCAGGCGTTCACTGCAGGGCTCTTTATGAGGGCACAGCTGCAGAGACTGCAAGTCAAGGGTGCAGTCCTGCACCGCATGCACACGTGCATCAGCTCATCTGACTGCATCCACACAAGTCAAATGAGTTCACTGAGAGCTTTAAATAATAATCCACATTAGAATCCATGCACCCTTCTTCTTTTCATTTAATAACTACTGCTTATGGAGACGGGGTCATCGTGAAACGCAAAATTAGACTGAATTTAGCAGGATGGAAAATGTGTCTGATGGTTTTTTGCACTATTAAAACTTGACATTCCAATATTTTGGCTGTTTTTACAATGTTCTCCATGTTTGGTTTCCAAAACCTAGCAATAAAAACAGTAGTGCACGGCACGCTATAGTAGACTTTGTGTAAATAATTATTAATTTAATTAATGGTTATAGTGGTATGGTTTGCCACAAGTTTTATGACTTAAAAGTGTACATTTAACCTTTAAACCCTTCAATATCTAAAACACAGCAATTTAATATACACTGAAACGGGGACAAGATGCATTTTAACAGCTTACTTGCTTATTTAGGTGTTGCAACAGACTTCACCAGGAGCTTCTATAAATGGTAGTGTGCATAAAAAGAAGAAAGAAATCTTTTTCCATGCATCTGAACGCTCCTCACATCCTCTGACAGATACTGGAAACTCAAGTTATGAATGCAGATCACAACAAATCCATGCAGCAAACACATGATTATTAGCAAATCACTTTAGTTTAACTTCATTTCCATCTATGCATTGCATATCAAGGGGCTTTGGTTGACCTTCAAAGCCCAGACTTTGTTTTTAAGATATGTATTTTTTTCCTAATGTAATCACTTTAGTTTAACTTCATTTCCATCTATGCATTGCATATCAAGGGGCTTTGTTTTTAAGATATGTATTTTTTTCCTAATGCATGTCATATGATAGTGATAAAAGCACAGATATACGCCCATCATCTCTGTGCATGAAAACTAACAGCATATCCAAAAAGACCGCCAGCGTGCAAACGAAATATAAACATACATATATGAAACAAGCACTTATTAAATAACAATTCAAATGAGACAAACGGGGTATTTCAACCTATATAAACAAAAATAAGTTTTGCATGACTCATCTGTGTCCTGACCTTTGCAAACAGACAACAAAAGGGCTTAAAATAACACATGCATAAACAAATAAATCTCAGCGAGTTATTCACATGATTGTTTATGAATATTCATTAGTAAATATGACAAATATGCACCAATAAATACACGAGTTAAGCACTTTCACACTAGGAAAACTGGCTACATAACTAATTGAGTGACTGTTATATTACTATATAAACTATCTAGACATGTAAACAAGCCTATATAGATTTAAACTAGATATATATGTCGATTAAAACTAAATCACGAAGCTTGCTTTAACAACATAAACAAAACGAACTGAATTATCCAGGCGGCTAGTTAGCTTAGCACGAGCCAGCACAAAACTGACTCTCCTCAAGGATAAAATCACATTTCTTACCTGGAATGAGGAAAATACACAAAATATCAGCGCAGCAGATCATTTAATGTGCTCTGTCAGGCGATGAAGATGATATTTTATGTGATGTTGTGAGGAAGACTCGCCCTGACTGACTGACTGACTGTCTTTGTCTGACTGACAGCAGCCGCGCTGACGTCACGCCGCACGCCTCGGACCGACTTGGGAAATGTAGTTTATTTCGAACACGCCTCCATAGTGAATGTGATTGTCATATAGATAGACAGACGTGTTTTTTTCGTTATAATTCAATCAGAGTACAGAAAAGAAGCGGCGAGGCAACGGGAGATAGTGTGAAAGACGAAGGTTTCCTTAAATTAACTTTATAATACGTAAAAGTGTGTTTAAAGTTCATTTATTTACATAAACAGTTGCTTGAGGTGATGGCATCTGAGGAGGATTTAAACATGGACATCTTCAGGTACACTTCAGGTTCTTCTTTCATTAAATGAGAATAAACAAGAAAGAGTTATAAAAAGTTACTAGGGATATTTCCCTGCAGTGACTATAAATTGTCCCTAGTAATAATTTTTATCATTAAATGTATGTGAAACCACTGTTGTTGTAATTTCGGCCACATCTTAAACCACTGATATTACCAAAGAAGTTAAAGTAAATACGCTAGAAATGTACGTCCTTGAAACGGAGCTTTTCGAAACGAATCAGTTAAACTATTGCATCGCAAAATGATTCACTGTTTCAAATCACTCCAATTGGATCGCGTATCGCGAATCATTTGATTGAGATTGGGACTTCAAAGCAAGTATCGCAAATCATTTGATTCAGATCGGGACTTCGGAGCGGGTTCATGAATCATTTGATTTAGATCGGAACTTCGGAACGGGTTTACAAATCTTTTGATTCACATCGGAACTTCAGAGTGGGTTTGCGAATCATTTCGCAAATTAGATTTGTGATACGCACTTCTAAGTCCCGATCTAAAATAATGGTTCACAAATCATTATTCAGATCTGGACTTCGGAACGGGTATCACAAATAATTTGTTTTAGATTGGGATTTCAGAGCCCGTATCACAAATCATTTGATTCTGTTCGGGACTTTGGAGCGGGTTTGTGAATCTTTTGAGTCATGTCGGAACTTTGGAGCACGGATCGTGAATCATTTAATTTAGATTGGAACTTTGGAGTGGGTTTGTGAATCTTTTGATTCAGTTCGGAACTTCGGAGCGCGTATCGCGAATGGTTTGATTTAGATCGGAACTTAGGAGCGGGTTTGTGAATCATTATTTAGATTGGGACTTCGGAGAGAGCGTATCGCGAATCATTTGAATTAGATCGGGACATTGGAGCACTTATCGTGAATTATTTGATTCAGATTGGGACTTCGGAGCGGGTTCGCAAATCTTTTGAATTAGATCGGAACTTTGGAACGAGTTCACTGATCTTTTGATTCATATCTGAACTTCGGGGCGGGTTCACGAATCATTTCGCGAATTGAAATATTTGTGATACGCGCTTCGAAGTCCCGATCTGAAATGATGGTTCGCGGATCATTATTTAAATCGGGACTTCGGAACGGGTATCGCAAATCATTTGTTTTCGATCGGGATTTCAGAGCACATATCACGAATCATTTGATTCAGAGTGGGACTTCGGAGCGGGTTCGTGAATCTTTTGATTCAGATCGGAACTTCGGAGCACAGATCGTGAATCATTGGAACTTCGGAGCGGGTTCGTGAATCTTTTGATTCAGATCGGAACTTCAGAGTTGTTGTTGTTTTTTTTTAAACCATGGTTAATTGTTGTAAGGGATGTGTTGCCAGGTTAAAAAAGTAATAAATTTACATCTTAAGAGGACACATGGGATGAATATAGAGATACAGTTTTGATAGGATTAAAATAACTTTGGATAGTTTCCATTATGCTGGTCTAGATCAGCTCTGAATAAAGAAAAGAGAGGTTTAGAGCCAGATGTGTTTATGTATGTGAAATTATGTATGCATGCTGTCGTGTCCCCAAAAATGTCAAAATCAAATCCACGCCTAATTAGATATTTGATAACTCCAAAATAAAAAACACAATCTTTTTGTATTTTGTTTGTCAGAGCAGCCGGTAGAGTGCACTGTTTTACACTGTTAACTCTAAATGGATGGTCAGCCAAATGACAATGAAATCTCTGTCCAAATGAGCTCTGTATCTCATGAATGACTGTTCTGTTTCACTGCTGTACATTAATCTACATATTATAACTCTGTAAAATGAAATAATATGCAGGAATTCTTCAGTGCAGCCTACAGTCAGGGCTAAAGATGATGTAAACTAGCATTGTGTTGTTGTTTATGATGTCTTGTGTTGTAGATTGACAGAAAAAGAGCATTCGCGTGACCAAGATTGACAGATTTACATCTGTGCGCGATGCTGTGCATGGTTGTAATATATTGCATTTTTTCTGGACATTTCTTGACAGTTCATTCAGGTAACACACTCTTCTATGCATCACAGTTCACTCAGATTTCTGTGCCTTTACTTACAGAAAAGTACTGTGATGGTAATGAGGTACAGATGTAATACCATTTTTTTTAAATTACGAATGATTACTCATGTACCATTTGGTATTTACATTGCACTCAAAATACCATTTGTTATTTGCATGGTTCTATGAAGAATAGCATAGTATTATCATGTTACCATAAGCAAGACAACAAGTGTTGTTGCCAAACAGCTTTATAGAAACAGGGCTGTAAACACAAGCCTGTTTAAATGACTCTGTGACATTTCTGACACTTGTGTGTCAGTGTTCGTCATGACATGCTGTCACGCTTGTGGCACTTTTGCAAGACTTTGCCAAAAAAAGGCAATAACTGTGTCTTAATTCTGCAGGCTTTATGTAGTCAAAGGTGTTTGATTATTGTTTTTGTTCACATGCTTCAGCTTAGGGAGTGAATCTCACAAAAAAACAAAACATGTATTGGTCACAGACACAGTTTACCCCCAAATCAGAAGAAAAACAAAAACATTTTAATGGAATGATACCTATTTTAAGATTTTATTTTTGCATTGTAGTAATAAGAATAAGGAGGTAAATTTTGTTTTATGCACATGAAACAAAATTTGGAAAATTATAGTCAGTAAGGTTGGTTTTTGAAAGAAGTTAATTATTTTATTCAGCAAGGATGCATTACATTGAAAAGTGACAGTAAAGGCATTTATAATGTTACAAAAGATGGGCTGAAATGTGACCTGGATATGTTCTTGACAGATTCACTCTGATATGCTCTCAAATATTAGTTTTTGTCCATACACTGTTTTCCCTTCAGCCGCCAATGTTTGATCTACCTGAACACAGAAAGTTCATTTCTATCCCACTGACTGCTCGGGTAGTTATGACAGTCTTTTCCTCATTTGGCAGAATACCGTGGTCCAGCTGTCAGCAGGGTTCACAGACGTCTGTTTCAACCCCCTCAGCTGCTAAACGCTACGAGAGACTGAGCGCATGAGTTAAAATTAGCTCTTAGTCAACACAGTGCTTCATGGGTCAGGACATAAAGGAGTGAGGGGTCTCTCCAGATGCTCTAAACTGTCTCTGCGTACCGTCTTTCCCTCATCCAGGACCTTGAATAGGCAAAAGAAGTGAGCCGGATTCATATCAACCAGATCTGGCCATCTCTGCCTCCCTTCTTATTGGTCATTCTTTCTCTCTCTTTTCTCAGTCATTCTGCTCGCTCAGACTTGGATAGAGGACAATACAGTTCTCACAGACTGTTAGTGCTCGGACCGTCTCAGTAGGAACAGAGGACAACGTAAAGACCGGACCACAAGAAGGAGCGTCTTTGTGATGGTTTATTCCAGGAACAGACGGACATTAAAGTGGACGTTTCTTTTGATACGTTTTTGAAGTCTTCGCTGACTTTGACACAAAGTCATCTGTGAACGGATACCTGTAACTTGGGACCATATCAAAAAGGTATGTTGTGTACTTCTAAAAAATGCCATTTTTAGTTTATCATCAATATAGGAATGGTTATTATGCTTTTAATGGCAGAATTGAGTGGTGGTTTTTGTAAACCTGTTGCTATACGTACATAGTTATTTGTGTGTGTGTTTAATATATATGTGTGTGTGTATATTTAATATATATTGGTGTGTGTGTATATATATATATATATATATATATATATAAACATGTAAATTGCAAATAATAAACTGTATAAAACTGCACACACACACACACACACATATATATATATATATGTTATATGTTATATGATACTTTATTTCTGTATGTTTTTTGTGTTTCGTTTCGCTTTTTTCTTTTTTGTTCATTATTTTGTGTTATGATTTGTTTTTTACTGTTTCAGTTTACCTGAGAAGCCTATAACAGGTTCTTTTTGTGCCAACTTACCCCATTTAGTGTGACGACATCCCTTTTGCCTTGTTGATTTATGATTTTTGGATTTTAAAAAATCCTTCAGATTAACATTGAAGGAGGGACTCAAGCCATATATAAAGACTTGAGGGAGGGATTTTTTTTAACTTGATCTAATAAAAACCACCTGGCAAATAGATAAAACAATTTTAAAAAACACTTTTCCAATTCCATATTGCAGGAAGTATCACAATCTAGTTTTATTTGTGTTTATGTGCATGGTGACCATGCAACTGAGAACTTTGCTTGTCTCTGACTTCATTGTGAGTACTGGCAGCTTTCAGGAAGTGCTTCATCAGATTGCACTTAGCGATTCCATTTCCTACTGAAGGATTTCCTCTGACACGGGGCCCACGGGAGCCGGCTGGCAGCGCTACAGCGCTTTGAAGTCGTCAGTGACAGAGATGGTGTCTTAAATCAGCCTGTGTGACTCAATATTCTCTCTGGACTTTAGGGTCTGTCTAAACATTTCAGGTTTGTGAATTACAAGGAGAAGGTGATTTATGAGGACATTGCCCCATGTCCCCATATTTCAAAAGGCTTATAAATCATACAGAATGAGTTCTTTTGAGAAAGTTAACATGTAAAAAAGTAAAAAGTTTCCTGTAAGGGGTCGGCTGGCAGCGCTACAGCGCTTTGAAGTCGTCAGTGACAGAGATGGTGTCTTAAATCAGCCTGTGTGACTCAATATTCTCTCTGGACTTTAGGGTCTGTCTAAACATTTCAGGTTTGTGAAGGAAGTCCACATGTGGGTGAGCAGAAAGAGAAGAGTTGCATGTGTTTAGACTCACAATGCATTTTGCAAATAATGAGCTGTCATAATGTGGAGGCACCACGCAATACCATGGTTCGCGTTTATGGACACTTGGAAACGGTGTGGCAGCGGTTTGTGAAAACAAACGTGTCTGATTTCGTTCATGCCCGCAGGAATGAGCGGCCCAGTGTTGAATCATGGGCCACAGTTAGCGTCTGAGCTAATGACCTGACGCACAGAGATAAGACATGGTGCATGACATCAGCGCTCCAATTCTGCACCGCCATGTGAGAAACAACAACAAGCTCGTGCTCGTACCGTCGGGCCACGCCGTCGTCATGACAACAAAACAGAGGCCAATTGTTTAGGTGGTTTGTTTAGTTAATTGAAATGTGTTTAGTTTATTTTTAACAAAAAGCATGTAGGTCCTAAATGTCATGTAACATCGCTGTTAAATGAGTTTACTAAAACATGCGCTTACGAAAAAGTACATGGCATGCTAAGGTATTTGTTTAAGTGCTTGGGGAACTATGTAAATACATTGAATATGAATCATTCAGTACTATAGTATATCAAAGTACTATGGTTTTAGAACATGCGGCATGGTAGTACCATGGTATTTGAATATGATGTAATTTGTTTCAATGGCATATGTTAAAGTACCATGGTATTACCATAGTTTTGAACATGTATCATGGTAGTACCATGATATTTTTGAAGTCTAATTAAAGTATGTGTATAGGACCATGGCATGACCAATGCACATGGTAATAACTTGCTATTTGAATATGGTTATCATTGAGTACCATAGTATATATCAGAGTAAAATGGTATCACAATGTGTTTGGGCTTGTACTGTACCATGGTATTCTTTGCAGTTTTTTTGAGTGCAATGTACTGTAAATATCATAGTATGAGTATGATACACTACTGTTCAAATGTTTAAGAAATAAGAAATTAATACTTTTATTCATCAAGGATGCATTAAATTGATCAAAAGTGACAATAAAGACAATTATAATATTACAAAAGATTTCTGTTTCAAACAAATGCTGTTATTTTCATCAAAAATGATTTTTTTTTCATAAAAAAAAAAAAAGTATAATGGTTTCCACAAAATTATGAAGCAGCACAACTGTTTTCAACATTGATAATAATCAGAAATGTTTCTTAAGCAGCAAATTACCATATTCTGATGTTTTCTGAAGGATCATGTTACACTGAAGACTGGAGTTATGATGCTGAAAATGCAGCTTTGCATCACAGGAATAAATTACATTTTAAAATATATTCAAATAGAAAACTGTTATTTTAAATATTTAAAATATTTCACAATATTACTGTTTTTACTGTATTTTTAATTGAATAAATGTAGCCTTGGTGAGCAAAAGAGACTTTTTAAGTGCTTGGGGAACTATGTAAATACATTGAATATGAATCATTCAGTACTATAGTATATCAAAGTACTATGGTTTTAGAACATGCGGCATGGTAGTACCATGGTATTTGAATATGATGTAATTTGTTTCAATGGCATATGTTAAAGTACCATGGTATTACCATAGTTTTGAACATGTATCATGGTAGTACCATGATATTTTTGAAGTCTAATTAAAGTATGTGTATAGGACCATGGCATGACCAATGCACATGGTAATAACTTGCTATTTGAATATGGTTATCATTGAGTACCATAGTATATATCAGAGTAAAATGGTATCACAATGTGTTTGGGCTTGTACTGTACCATGGTATTCTTTGCAGTTTTTTTGAGTGCAATGTACTGTAAATATCATAGTATGATACACTACTGTTCAAATGTTTAAGAAATAAGAAATTAATACTTTTATTCATCAAGGATGCATTAAATTGATCAAAAGTGACAATAAAGACAATTATAATATTACAAAAGATTTCTGTTTCAAACTAATTTTGTTATTTTCATCAAAAAACGTTGCTTTCATAAAATAAAAAAAGTATAATGGTTTCCACAAAATTATGAAGCAGCACAACTGTTTTCAACAATGATAATAATCAGAAATGTTTCTTAAGCAGCAAATTACCATATTCTGATGTTTTCTGAAGGATCATGTTACACTGAAGACTGGAGTTATGATGCTGAAAATGCAGCTTTGCATCACAGGAATAAATTACATTTTAAAATATATTCAAATAGAAAACTGTTATTTTAAATATTTAAAATATTTCACAATATTACTGTTTTTACTGTATTTTTAATTGAATAAATGTAGCCTTGGTGAGCAAAAGAGACTT